ATATATATATATATTAGTCATTTGATATATATCCTATCTCTTTCACGTGCATGCCATCCAGGGTAAGAAAAAAAAAAGACATATTTAAATATTGTCCCATGCGCCTCTATGCAGAAAAATAAATAAAAAAATTTGCATATGCTCTTCTCTCTCTCTACTATTATTATCATATCTTATTTTTATAAAACGGATGGTTTTTATCTCCCTTAAGCAGAGCTTCCTTAAGCGCCCCGGTTGTCGCACGAACCCGAGCTCTCTCTCCCCTTTCGCGAGCGAGATCCGGTATCGTTGCCGTCGCCGGTCCTCTTCTGTCCGCCGGACCCTCCTCTAAAAAAAAAGAGGTACAGACACCTTCTCTGCTCTCCCGCTCAGTCTCGCGAGGAACAGCCCGAACTCCCTCTCCCTACGCCGCAACTACCCTCGTCGGACCTCCCTCGTCGCCAGCGAAGGCCGTCGGAACCTCTCCAAACGCCGACCACCACCTTCATTTGCCTATTTTTATTTTTTTTCTCTTTGCCTGCTACTCTCGCCGGATTTCTTCAACCTGGTCGGCATCATATCGTCGTCGGAGCAAACAGAGGAGAGAGCTTCAATCTTTGGGTTCTCCCTACATACTTCCTTCGCTCTCGGCCTGCACCGTCGGTGAGCTAACCTCCGCACATCTCTGTCCTACCTTCCCGAAGGCCGGACGCTTAGTCTGAATACCTCAACGTCGCCGGACAACAGACACCATCGTTGTTTGGGAGAAAGCAAGGATCATCCTCGAACTGCTTTAGCTTCGTGCAAACGTCGCGACAGTATAATTTCTTTAAACCCTCTGCATTTCACTTTTTAGCTAGCCTTAGTCTTTAGCGGTGATAGGCGTGTGGGTTCGAACGCCTACACGGGGTGTGTACGCCGACGTGAGCCAGCGTGGCAGCGCACCTATGTGATGGATCACTTGTTTTACTAGAGTTGACCTTTAGGATAGGATCCTCCTTACGCAACAAATTCCCCTACGATAGTCGAGTGAATCCTTTTTTACTGCTAACCTTATCACAAAAATTCTAAAGGTTGGAGCCCTCTTTCGCTCCCATTTGCTTTGGTCACATCGGTCTTTTAAGAAAGATCGAAGAGTATGCCTTTTCAAGATGAGAAAATGCGAGTCGTTAGCTTATTTTGCAAAGCTCGGAGGCGTTGTTAAATCGGTAAGAACATCGTTGCTAGCCCGTTTCACGACGAGAAGGAGAATTTTTCCTTGGAGGTCCAGGGAGAAGTTCCCCACTCGCCTCGCCAAAGCAAAGGCGGCAATCAACGTCTTTCTATATGTTGACCCCAGGTTTCCCCGGTAAGGTCGTTAGCACGGTTAGCACGGGAACTACTCTCTATTACATTTGTATGCTTGCATGTTGCATTTTGTACGACACATAACATTTGATTTCGCTTCGTCGACTGCCCCGCCCCGACAAGCGTCTCACTTTGCTCCAATTGGTCTTCCTAACCGGACGGGCATTTCACGTCGCTTCGACTGGTCGCCCCGACCGGACGAGCATTTCACTTCGCTCCAACTAGTATCCTCGGCCGGAAGAGCATTTCACTTCGCTTCGACCAACCGCCCCGACCCGACGAGCGCTTCACTTCGCTCTGACAGGTCACCCCGGTCGAATGAGTATTTCACTTTGCTTCGGCTACCCGCCCCGGCCGGACGAGCTTTTCACTTCGCTTCAACCAGCTGCCCTCGGCCCGACGAGCGCTTCACTTCGCTCCGACTGGCCGCCCTGACCGGACGAGCATTTCACTTCGCTCGGACTTGTCCCCCCCGACCCGACGGGCATCCCACTTCATTTCAATCGACTTCGCCGAGCCGGTTGGCATGACATTCTGGCTCGATCGGATTCCTCGACCCGATCGGCTAACTACTTGCACGTGTGTTTGCATTTTTGCATATTGTAATGCATATGTATGACTACATTGTTGCGTCCTATCTTGCATTTGTTTGGTTGCATGATTATGATCATAAGTTCGAGTTGCATGTTCTCTTTGGGCCACTGTCGCCATGACGTGCCTACCCTTTATAGGTTATTGCCCTATTGGCATACCTCTTGTGGACGCTGCCACCACAATATGCCCATCCTTTTCAAGCCGCTACCACTATGACATACCTATTTCGTTGAGTCACTGCCAGTTCGACATACCTCTTGGGGCCACTACCATCACGCCATGCCCATTCTCTTGGGGCCGCTGCCAGTATGGTATGCCTATCTTCCTTTGATTTCCTACCCCATGGTATACTCATCACTTGTGTTTTGACCAATCATTTGCATTTACATGCTCACATGGATAACGAGCAAGACCCGTTAGAAGAGTAACTCCCGTGTTGGTTGCAATGTCTTAACGAGCATTGCTTGTCGGGTCGATCCCGATGAGCAATGCGAGTTAATTCATCGAGACTAACACAAGAATGATTGTGCTAAGGATCTAATTTGTGTCACCCCTCTTCGTGACACTCTTTAGATCTTTTAGATCTTTCGGAGGGGGCCGGCGCGACGACCCGTCAAAGTCATACCATACACTGACTTACCCCACACTTAGATACTAGGTTGATGCACTTGTCGTTAGTTGGTGTGCTAGGCTAGGTTATAGGATGCTAGGTAGTATTTTTGACATCTCTGACTATTGTTGTGTGTTATAATGCCTTGCGCTAGCCATGTGTCCCCTTTCTGCCTTTTTTGCTTCGCTTGCATGCTTCTTGTGTGTGATAGTATATTAGGGTGATCTTAGGCAGGTGTCGTTCCTATTTATACACGCTCACGAAGGTGCTATTATGGGGGAGCATGTAATGATTTCTAATCCTTTGCATGCAGGTGCTCTTTAGCTCCCCTAACTATAAGGCACAACTTATTATTTTTACGATGCATGGTGTGCCCGCTAATGTTTGTTTTATGCAGGTCGAGTCTTTATTTTCTATTTCAAATATATTTGATAGAGTCTTAGAAGTGTCTGTATCGGAAATAATGTACGAGCATAGGTTTTGAGGCGGGTGACTCACCAAACCATGTGAAGAGGACCATAAGCAACAGCTCATGTCCCGTACCTTAAGTCAGAATTTTACATGTTTGTATAGACTTAGGACCAGACATGTATATGCGGAGTCCGACCGCTTTTACTGCTTTTCCTGGATTATGTTGCAGATCTAGCGACCTTTGACCTTTTTATATATTTTTTGGGTGCTTTCCTTTCTTTATCTTCTCGTATGTCTTTGCATGTTTGTGCGTTTTATATTATTTCTTTCTGCATATTTGGACCTCATGTTCTTATTATTTTACTTAAAAATCCTAATAATAAAAGATTGAGATAATCAAAATTTTAGGGTTAAAACTTTCAAAATTTTCTTAAATCAGCCTTTACCTTTTGCATGGTCTCGGGCCGGTTTTGAAAATGGTTTGCATGCATGGCTATAACCCAATCATACTTAATAGGGCCTCCACACTTAGGAATATGCTAGATAATTGCATCATATTTGCATGGCCACTCGTGGCCCCTGTGCTTCTCCAATCTGACTAGCCCAGCATAATCTGGTTTAAGTGGTTGTTTAGCACGCTTAGGGTGTTAGGAGGCACCCCGATCCAGACGGGACATCTTGTTTGAGTGTTTCCAGCTTTGTAGCTGAAACTCCCTTTTCCTTCTTTCCTGAGGCTTCTTCGCCACTTTGCAGGTATAAGTCTCACCTCTCAGAGCTTTAGCTTCTAATGATAGGATATAGTTTCCTTCCTTCGATCTTAGGGCTACCGAGGTCCCCGCGGACGACGCGATTCATGGATTGTTGACCGGAGATCTCTAGTTGTGTTGGGTCGACTACCTTGACGACCAGGTAGACTTAGAGTCCTAGTGGCTTAGGATGACGGGTCTGTAGTACCCTGACTTGGCTACCTCTACCTCTTAGGATTACTTCTCCCCACCTTTGACTACCCCTGTTGAGCCCTCTCTGCTCTTTTGACTATGTTGATATCACTTTGACAGCCCGATGCCGATAAGCTGTCGCCCGTTTGAGATACGACGATTTGTCCTCTGCCCTTATGTGTTATGACGTATCGGGATACCCCCGTCAAGTGATTTATGGGTATTTTGTAGGTATTATGTGCTGAGGAGCCGCTATCCATT